AACCAGGTGACCGCGTGGTTCCGACGCCGCCGCGGGAAGAAGATGAGCTCGAGAGCATTACGTCGGATGATTCACTTGAGTCAGAAGCGCTTGAACATTCTGGACCTGATGCCGCACCTTACCAGGATCTTACACCGCCTTCCAACGGCGAGGATTGGCTGGATGCGACGCTGAGGGATGTCCTGTCCTTGAATGGACCCCTGCTGATGGCATATCTGGGCCCAAACTCGCCAGAGGTCTGGGCATGGCATGTTGCTTCGGATGCATTCTTGTGGGGGGTACATGATATTCGTGAAGATTATCTTGAGCGTTTTGGAGACCCTCAAGAAATCACACAGGGGCTTCAGCCGTCCGAGGTTCAAGGCCTTTACATGTTGGGAAGTGGACCCAGTCAATCACAGGCCACCTTAAGTGTAGCATGGAATGCAGCAGCTGCTGCGGCTTCCTCTTCCTCTTGGCCAACCTTGAATATTTCGCCTGTCCATAACCCAATTCTTGGGTATTACCTGGACGACAACATGCCAGGACAGCCTTCAGAACCATCTGAACATGATATCGCTATTGCGCAGGCAGCCTTTTTTCTTTACCAGAACAATCTTCAGTTTGATTGGGAACAACTAAGTGAAGAACAACAAGACGTATACCATTCCTTAGTTGGGCAGTGGATCGCCAATATCCATGAGGTCGACTGATGTGACCAAGAATGATGCGGAGAGGCCCCGTTCTTGCAGTCCGGACAGCAGTTTGCGAGACAAGCCTGTAAACCCGCGCAGACAGCCCATACGGGTGTTTAATAGGTACTAAGTAGTGCGAATAATTAGTGTCAATAGGTCAAGTATGGTTGGTTTATAAGCTTTTGGAGGAGTGGATCCTCACTCAGGCATCAAAATCACCGAGGTTTTCCCTTTATCTTGACTCAACTGTTGCGAAGCATGCAACCAATCCTCATAGGGTTTAAACTAGTGTTTAATAATTCCTTGACAGCCACTGCCAGGGGATAATGTCAGCTTGTACCTGGGTCGCCCCCGGGCTCGTCAGCACGGCAAGTCTGACATACAATTTTTATTTCATATCCAGGTCGCCCCTGGTATCGTCCTTTTGCCTCATACAGCACCGCATCAATTTGGCTGTCCAAGTTCCACACTTGGATTTTTGGCCTTCACAGTCATGGAATCCAGGTTCAGCTCACGCTGAAGGGGGAGTGACGATTCCCATGACCATTCCCATGTCCAGGTCCCCTCATTCAACCCCACATCCGCGGCCCCCTTTCCAGGTCAAGGAGCACAGGCACCTCTGTGGGTTTAGTGGTTGGTTGTGGGTGGGGATCCTTTAAAATTCCTCTGAGAGTCTACACTTTAGACCATAAGCCTTAGTGGCTTTGATCAAGAGTAGTATCTGTCCAGACATCCTTTTTGGTTTCTTTCTTCTGGGATCTTTTACTGTTTCGTCCTGCGGTGCCCAAAAGTGCGTCCTCTTTCGCCTTCCTAGCGAATCTAACCTAGGGGCTGTGATTAACCTTTCCAAACCCTAAACCCTAAACCCTAAACCCTAAACCCTAAACCCTAAACCCTAAACCCTAAACCCTAAACCCTAAACCCTAAACCCTAAACCCTACGCAAGGACCCTCCTCGGCGGTCTCCTCGGCATGCTCTGCTTCCAGGGCCTTGCGGAAGAAGGCAGCCGGCCTTCGAATAGGGCCGAGGAAGTTTCAGAGGGTTTAGGGTTTAGGGTTTAGGGTTAGGGTTTAGGGTTTAGGGTTAGGGTCTAAGGTTGGGGGGGGGGGGGGGGGAAAGGGCTTAGGGGGGTTTAGGACGTTAGGGCGGTTAGGGTTCAGGCTTTGATGAAGTGGGTGGGTAAGTTGCAAGTGGGGTCATCATGAGTTAGTAACCATAGTTATATATAGATATATATGGTTTAAAGCCGAAATCTGTCCGCCGTGCTTTTGCTGTTTTCCTGTTTGTAAAAATTTCAACACAGTGGATACAGATCGACAAATAAAGAACAAATGAATAAATCACTAAAATGCAAAACCAATATATATATATATATATATATATATATATATGTATACACATAAGTGTATAGCTCGTGTATTTCCTTAGCTGAGGAACTTTCAACCTCCCAAGAAGGACTTCCCTTGAACCCCCAAAACCTGCGTTTCGGGGACGAGACGACTTAGCTTTAACAGCTCCAGAGTTTCAAGGACGTGAAGCCTGCCCAAGTCCCAGAACTTGCGACGCCCCGGAAATCGCCCAAAACCCCGTACGCCCTGAACCCAAAACCCAAGACCTTAAACCGGAAAACCCACAACCCTGAGCCTTAACCCAAACCCCGGAATCCTCGGAAGCCCGAAGCCGGAAACCTACCCCCAAAACTGCCCCCAAGAGTCCCAAAACTGCCCCGCAGAGCCCCAAAAGGTTTAGGGTTTACGGTTTAGGGTTTAGGGTTTAGGGTTTAGGGTTTAGGGTTTCCGGGGCACCCAAAGGGCTTCACCACAGCGGCATCTACGGCCTGCAGGAGCCTTCGTTCACAAAGGGAGGGTGGGTTGGGGGGAGTTTTGGGGCTATGGTTGAGGGATTTTGCCCGCAGTTCCTTTCTTGCGGAGTAGAGGAGAGCACCCTCAGGTTGGCTATCACGGCTTGTTTAGGGTTTAGGGTTTAGGGTTCAGGGTTTAGGGTTCGCCTTTGGCGGATGGGGATTTCGGACTTAACCGGGTTGGGTTGGTTGCTGAGGGTTCGGGGGTTGAGGGTTCCGGTCTTGGAGTTCAGTCTTGATGTTTTAGGGCTTAGGGTCATGGCTTAGGGTTTCAGGGGGTCCAAGGTGGCTCGAATCCCTAAGCACTGGTTTTCATCCGACCTCCCCTGACATTCCTCAACATTCTCAACCGTAGCCGCAGCCTGGTCGCCTGTTGAGTCAAGGGATGAAGGCTCGTACCCCTAAGGTTGTACCCCTAAAGTTTCCCCCGCAATACATTCCTAATATGACCCTTATTTATACCCTTAGGGATCCTTAATACCCTTAGGGATCCTTAATACGCTTAGGGATCCTTAAAAAGGGGCCCCAAAACCCAAGGGTACAACCTTAAGGGTCCAAGGTAGAATCCCTAGATTGAGGGGGCCCTGGATGCCGACTTGAGGATTGGTAGTTCTACTATGGCCAGTGGCATCCTTCTTCCCGATTATCACCATGGGCCAGGTTCCCTCATCAGACCGTAAACCCGAAACCCGAAACCCGAAACTCTAAACCCTAAATCCTCAACCCTAAACCCTGACAATGGCCCTTTCCTAGACCCTAAACCCTAAACCCTAAACCCTAAACCCTAAACCCTAAACCCTAAACCCTAAACCCTAAACCCTGAACTATGAAGGCCCCCCCCCCAACCCCTAGGCCGTGCTCGGCTACACCTTCCTCCCCGTGGTGCAGCTCTCCGCCGGCGAGGCGCTTGCTTTGTGGTTTCTGGGGATTGGGGTTTAGGGTTAAGAGGGTTTTTAGGGGTTTAGGGTTTAGGGTTTGGGGTTTAGGGTTTAGGGTTTGGGGTTTAGGGTTTGGGGTTTGGGGTTTAGGGTTTATTTAGGGGCTTGAGGATAGGGTTAGGCTTGGGGTGCGTTTGTTTGCGGCTCACGCTTCAGGGCAGAAGTTCCCTTAATTACGCCACAAAAAGCTCAGAACTCCAGTTGGGGGCTGAAGCATGGGCCCGAAAGAAGCCCTCAAAGCTCTAGAGCCTGAGACACTGCCCAGACACCCGAAACCCTAAACCCTAGACCCGAAACCCTAAACCCTACACTCTAAACCCTAAGCCCTAAGCCCTAAACCCTAAACCCCAATCGCCCTAAAGCCCTTAAAGCCCCTAAACCCTAAACCCTAAACCCTGAACCCTAAACTCCCGAAAGCCTCAAGGCTGCAAGCCACGGCATGCTGCTGCCCAGCGAGCCCCTCTCCCTTGGCTTCGCGGCGGCGGATTGTGGGGAATTGGGGCTCCGGAGCGTGTCGTAGTGGGTGCAGCGGGACTTAGGGTTTAGGGTTTAGGGTTTAGGGTTTAGGGTTTAGGGATGTTAGCAGGTGTTGGGGTTATAGGGTGTAGAGATCGTTGTTATGATTACGACGACGGCGTTGGGTTTCAGGCAGGCGCTCGGTGGTGGCCTTCGAGGGGCTTCCGGGATGTTGGGTTTAGGGTTTAGGGTTTAGGGTTTAGGGTTTAGGGTTAGGGTTTAGGGCAACCCAGACCTCGGCTCATGGGGGGCGCGTCAGGGCGAGCTCTAACCCCAGGCCGCGTCCTGAAGATGGCCCTAAACCCTAAACCCTGAACCCTGAACCCTAAACCCTAAATGTAAGCCGCGAGCCGACAGAGGCTCGGTTCTTGTGTACTTGGACGCTAATGCGGGACTTTCTTCTAAACAGGTTCCTAAATATGATCCTCTTAGACACATTACGGGGAAATTTGATGTTTCAAAAAGAACACATATCCCAAAACCCTACCTATTACCCTAAACCCTAAACCCTAAACCCTAAACCCTAAACCCTCAACCTAAACCCTAAACCCTAAAACCTAAACCCTACACCCCCCAATTCCAAGTGCACCTCTGCCATCTTCAGGGTTTTGCGTCTCAGGGTTTGGCACACCGGAGGGCTGAAATTCTCTCGGGCGGTATTCGCGGCCGGGGCCGAGGGCCCAGAAACCCCAAACACTGAACCTTAGACCCTAAACCCTAAACCCCAAACCCTAAGCCCCAAACCCTGAACCTTAGACCGCAGCTCATGTCATCTGCGGAGACCTCTGAACTCTCGGGAGCTTTGGAGGTTTTAGGGTTTAGGGTTTAGGGTTTAGGGTTTGGGGTTTGGGGTTTTGGGTTTGGGGCTGAAGGCGCTTTAGACGAGCTTTATGGGCCTTCAACTATGGCATGGAAGTGTCATGAGGCTCGGATTCCGGTTTGGGAGCCCAGTAGTACACAGAGTAGACGGATTTGTATGGAGGTGGATCGGGGTGTGATCGCCATAGCGCCATGACGGACCACGCTTCTGGAGAGCCGAATCCCAATCTTGCAATCTACCTGGAAGAGATCAAGTACTTCTTGGATGATGTGTATGGTGGCCACTGGGAATCAGTTCGATTGCTGTTGAAGCGCGCCGCAAGCGCCTCGGAAGAGCTTGTCCTGGAGATGCCGCAAGTCCAAACCTCTCAGGAGATTGGCGAGGCGATCGAGTCTATGAAGCACATCTTCAGCAGGGGCAAGTGTCCGAGGTTCGTCGTTATTGAGGCTCCTAGTCAATTGCAGCGAGACTTGATTTATGGCGTTGAGCGCCTGCGATTCAAGTGCAACGGGACAGCGACCGTGTTTGCGTATCCTCCGCTTACTGACAATCTCAATCTCAAGAAAAAGCTTGAATCCGGAGACCTGAACGCTTCGGACATGCTAAAAGTCTTGTCGCCATACTACGACTTCATCGCCAAGCGCGAACCGCAGTGGATGTGCGCTGAGAGGTTCGCTCGCTGTGCCGCTGTTGTGATGGTCTTCTCAAAGGGGCAAGACGACTTTGTGTGGCACCTGTGGGATGCAGAGAGGGAGGGCGGGCAGTGGGCTTTTCCTGGCGGCGACGTCAATCGCGCGTTTGATGTGGACTTGTGTGGAACCGCAGAGCGGGAGTGGAACGAAGAGGTACTGGGATTCGATTTCAACATGGCCCGTGACATCTCGATCGACCCTATCGTCTTGCCATTTGTGCCCAAATCTGAGAGTGCTCGCTATCCCGTACAAACCTACATCTATGTAAGAGCGACGCCGCAATTCTTCGAGGCAACTCAGTCACCGCAGGGTGAGCGATTCCGCTTCACCTTGCCACCAAATGCTGTGTTAAACTCACGAAACATGCGGGGTGAGGATGCCAGACGTTTCCACACCGACCCCGCTGTGGCCTTTGTTGAGCATGAGTGGGGTGCATGGGCGAAGATTGGGGTGGATGGATCCCAACTCTTCCCACCAATCGGAGAAGGATCTGGCGAGTTTGTCCCCGCGAGGGACAAAGGTGCGTTGGGAGAACGTGGCGGCGCTGCAGCTACATTGGCCGGAATTTGCCTTGCCTTTGCTGGGCCGTTCTTCTGCTTTGCGGGTCAAGGGCAAGGGATCAGGGGGAAAGGCAAAAGCTTCTGGAAAGACAGGCTCGCGCCCGAAGCCGATTGGCGGGCAAGGAATCCAAACTGCTGGGAAAGGTGCTGGGAACGCGTGCCGCCGGCAATCCCCGGCGGATCAAGATGAGAACTGGAGGCGGCACTGAGCCTAAATCTCGCCACGCGCAACAATGCATGTAAAAAAGCTCACCCGAAGCCCGATTTAGCAAACCTGATCCCAAAGGAAACCCTAAACCCTAAACCCTAAGCCCTAAGCCCTCAACCCTAAACCCTAAACCCTAAACCCTAAACCCTAAGCCCTAAGCCCTAAGCCCTCAACCCTAAGCCCTCAACCCTAAACCCTCAACCCTAAGCAGCCCTAAGCCCAAACCCTGAAGTGCCCTCCCGCACAGCCCCACAGCCAAATCTCGGGCTACTACTTGAGCCTAAAGAGCTACCAGTGTCATCCCTTTATCATCTCCTATATACTTACCCTAAACCCTAAACCCTAAACCCTAAACCCTAAACCCTAAACCCTAAACCCTAAACCCTAAACCCTAAACCCTAAACCCTAAACCCTAAACCCTAAACCTAAACCCTAAACCCCTAAACCCTAAACCCTAAACCCTAAACCCTAAACCCTAAACCCTAAACCCTAAACCCTAAACCCTAAACCCTAAACCCTAAACCCTAAACCCTAAACCCTAAACCCTAAACCCTAAACCCTAAACCCTAAACCCTAAACCCTACACCCTAAACCCTAAACCCTAAACCCTAAACCACCTGTCACTTCACAGAAGCAGAAGCACCAGCTCCTAGAATCCAAAGAAGCCCTAGATGCGACACTCGAGCGCTTCTCGAACTAGTGGTCCCCTTTCCGGCTTCCCTCAACAGAAGGACCCCCCCCCCCCGCCTTTGGGTCTACCGCTGATAGCGCGCAGTTAACACAAGTGCATTCCCATTTGTCTCCGAGGACAAACCGAGGATCACCCCCCCCCCACCCCCCCGCGCGCTCCCCAAAAAAATGAAAAGCCCGACGCCCCAAACCCCCCAAGCCCGCAAACCTCGCATTCATTAGCACCATCTCCCGTGGCATACTGTTATTCTCCAACTTCCGTAGCCCAAAACCCCAAACCCCTAAAATCCCTTAAGCCCCCGAAAAAGCCCTAAACCCTAAACCCTGAACCCTAAGCCCTAAGCCCTACACCCGAATTGCGGCAAGGCCCACACCCAAAACCCGAGTCCCCTAAAACCCGGGTCCTAAACCCTAAACCCTAAACCCTAAACGCTAAACCCTAAACCCTAAACCCTAAACCCTAAACCCTAAACCCTAAACCCTAAACCCTAAACCTTCAACCCTAAACCCTAAGCCCTAAACCCTAAACCCTACACCGCAAACCCTAAACCCTAAACCCTAAACCCTAAACCCTAAACCCTAAACCCTAAACCCTAAACCCTAAACCCTAAACACTTCCATGCCTCTTATCCCTGGTAGGAGGGCAGCGCTGGAAATTAGGGTCCTTTTTGGGCCCCCTCTACAGTACGAACCCTGAACCCTATACCCTGAACCCTGAACCCTGAACCCTAAACCCTAAACCCTAAACCCTAAGCCCTAAGCCCTAAACCCTAAACCCTAAACCCTAACCCCAAGTCAGAGAACTACCCGCAAGGCTCCGCCTTCCGCCTGGGAGAAGAGAGGAGTCCAGACTTCCGGCTGGCCGCTGGAAGCAATTTTTGTCGGGCTTGGGGTTTGGGGTTTAGGGTTTGGGGTTTAGGGTTTAGGGTTTACGGTTTAGGGCTTCCGGTTTGGGGTTCAAGGGTTGGGGTTTAGGTTTTGGGAGTGGGGGGTTTAATGCAGTTTGGGGTTTCAGGGGGCTGGGCTGGGAGTTTCGTCTGAGGGGCATGGGAGCTGACATTAGGGTCTCAGGTTTTTCTGGGGGTGTTTTTAGAAGATGTGGGGTCTTTTGTGGGTTTTGGTGTTGAGAGCCTGAGAAGCATGGGGCGCATCTGGGGTTTAGGGTTTCTCGCAGGTGCGTTGGCTGTCGATGCCGGGGAAGCTGAGATCGCAAGATTCTTCCGCTCGCGCGAGCGCAACGCGAAAGCAAACGTTGGAACTACCGTGCATTCCGACTCTGGCTCTCAACATCCACGCCTAAGGCCCAAAACCCTAAACCCTAAGCCCTAATTAAACCCCGAACCCTAAACCCTGAACCCTGAACCCTAAACCCTAAACCCGAAACCCGAAACCCTAAACCCGAAACCCTAAACCCCACACCCTAAGCCCCAAACCCGAAGCTTCTCAGGTCATGTGGGAGCGGTCGATCTACTACATCTGCGCTGGGGCCAAGAGCTTCGTGCTCTTCTTCGTGCGCGACGTGCTGAGCGTCACCCGGGGATCCGACCAGGCAAGGGCGTGGTCCTAAACCCTAAACCCTAAACCCTAAACCCTAAACCCTAAACCCGAAACCCTAAACCCTGAACCCTGAACCCTGAACCCTAAACCCTAAACCCTGAACCCTAAACCCTAACCCATGTGACGAAGGGCGCACGGTTGGCTGCTCAGTCCCAGACTTCCCAGATGCTGAGACTGCAGGTTCGAGGTCCTGGGGTTTAGGATTTCGGGTTTAGGGTTTAGGGTTTAGGGTTTAGGGTTAATTGGGATTTCGTGCTTAGGGTTTAGTTTTGGGGTGAGATTTCAGGGTTTAGGTTTGAGCGCTCAGGACTTAGGGTTGAAGATTTCGGCCTACAGCGGTGCAGGGTTGAGGGCCGTTCCGCCAGTCTTCCGCCATGTTGCGTGTTTGGGGAGTCTCCCAAGAGCTCCTCACCCTGACAGTGGATGAATTGGGCGTTGCGACGGCCTGGGAAAGCTGGGGGCTTGGTGGACCAACGGTCCTGACCCTAAAGCACCACATGCGTGCGACCTCCGGCTTCCCACTATGCCTTCAGAAGTTCCACCTCTTGCATGGTGCGTCCGACTCACGTTTGGAGGATGCCTCCGTGTTGGAGGCGATGGACCTGCAGCTGGTGTTGGTGGCCCTCTCTACCGATGCACAGAGGCAGGAAGCCACGAAGGAGCTCGTGGACTACGCTGCTCACAGAGGCCACGTCGAGGTGCTGCGCTTCTTGCTGAGAGCTGGCGCTGAGAAGGATGAGAAGGATCCGTTCAGTGGGTTCACCGCCCTTCAGGTGGCCTCCTGGCAGGGCCATGCCGATGTGGTGCGGCTGCTGCTAGAAGAGGGCGCTTCTGCGGACTGGTGGGACAGAGATGGGTGGACTGCTCTCCACTGCGCTGCCCATCGTGGTCATGTGGAGGTGGTGTGCTTGCTGATTCAGAATGGTGCTGACAAGGACCTTAAGAACTCCAGCACGGAGACAGCTCTGCACCTTGCTTCCGAGCGTGGTCATGCTAAGACTGTGAGCTTGCTGCTGGAAGCCGGCGTAAACAAGAACACCAAAGACTGGGAGGGCATGACAGCCCTTCACAAGGCTTGCGCAAGGAACCGCCAGGAGGTTGTCCGGGTGCTGCTGGAGTCTGGTGTCGACATGAGTGCGCAGAACCCTTGCAACGACCGGACAGCCTTGCACATTGCCTGCGAGCTTGGCCATCTTGAGATTGCACAGTCGCTCTTGGCAAATGGTGCCGATTATGATGCGGCTCGGTGCTTCGTGGTTGATGGTAACGACTCCGACGAGGGTTTTGATTTTGCTGACTTCAGTAGCGGCGAGACAGCTCTCCATCTTGCTTCTGCAGGCGGTCATGTTGAGATTGTGCGATTGCTCCTGGAAGCAGGTGTGAGCAAGAACATCCCGAACAAGGGGGGCGAGACTGCTTTATACCAGGCCTGTGAAAGCAACAGGTTGGAGGTGGCGCGGCTGCTGCTCGAGTCTGGTGTCCACACGGACGTTCAGGACGGTTGTTTGGGCTGGACAGCCTTACACGTTGCCTCCGATGTGGGAAGTGCTGAAATTACACGGTCGTTGCTAGCACATGACGTCGAGAAAGACATGCAGTGCTTCATTCACGGCAACACGGCCCTGCATATCGCTTGCAGCGATGGCCAAGTTGAGATTGCACGTTTGCTCCTGGAAGCCAATGCTGATAAGGACGCCCAGGATTCCGAATCATCCACCGCCCTTCACTTGGCATCTTCGCGGGGAGACTCCGAGCTCGCTTGTTTGCTACTGGAGTTCCGTGCTAAGGTGGATGTGCAGAATGAAGATGGCAGAACCGCGCTGATAGAGGCGTCCGAGTGCGGCCATGCTGAGATTGTGCGTTTGCTGCTGGCCGCCGGCGCGGACGAGGACGTGAAGTGCAGCGACGGCCGCACTGCTTGGATGATCGCATGTGATCAGAGGCACGCGGAAGTTGTACACTTACTGAGACCCCCTGAATTCTGAGACAAAAGCTGGACTGACAGTCTCATCAGAAGTTGAAAAGCCTTTCCCTAAACCCTAAAGAGAGAGGGTCCTTAAATCCTAAAGCGGCGTAGCAATATACAATTTTGCCCTACCTTATTCCCTTAATCTTTTTCCCTGAAGCCTTCTTCCCTCAAGCCTGTTCGCTGGGGGGATCCCGAAATCCTAGAGAGGGGGGGTTCCTTAAAGGTTCTAAATCCTATTCCCCAAGCCCCTGTCGCTAAATCCTACAGAGCGGGATCCCTGAATCTTATTCCCTCAATCTTATTCCCTTATACTTATTCCTTAAGTCCTATTTCCCTAAGCCCTAACGTCTTAAAGAGGGAGGGAGATCCGGGTTTAGGGTTTAGGGGGTAGGGTTTAGGGTTTAGGGTTTGGGGTTTGGGGTTTAGGGTTTAGGGTTTAGGGTTTAGGGTTTAGGGTTTAGGGTTGAGGGTTGAGGGTTGAGGGTTTAGGGTTGAGGGTTCAGGGTTTAGGGTTATTCTCTCAAACCCTACTCCTTAAACCCCCAAGTCCCAAATGGAGCGGCGATCCCTGGACCTTCTTCCCCTTGGCACCCTTTTCCCATTTTTTTGGTTCAAGGTTCCTTAGAAGTAACCAACTCAAACCCGGGCACCCTTATTGTAATATGGTTTCTAAGCTCGTGGCGTGTCCCTATAGTGTTTAGGGTTTAGGGCTAGGGTTTAGGGTTTAGGGCTTGGGGCTAGGGTTTACGGCTTGCACCCTGAACTATGAACCCGTAAACCCTGGCCTTCAACTCCACTGCCTCGCTCCCGAAGCCCTTGCACTGGTTCCGGGGTCCTTCTCGAGGTCCTCATTATAAGGGTGCCGTGTTCTAGAGAGGGCTGAAGAATGGCCCCTCATTTCGAGAACTACCCCTTCGACTACCCATGAGCCTTCAAGTAGACCCCAAACCCCAAATCCAAACCCCAAACCCCAAACCCCAAACCCCGAACCCCGAACCCCAAACCCCAAACCCCAAACCCCAAACCCCAAACCCCACACCCTAAACCCTAAACCCTAAACCCTAAACCCTAAACCCTAGACCCTAAACCCTAAACCCTAAACCCTAAACCCTAAACCCAAAACCCTAAACCCTAAACCCTAAACCCTAAACCCTAAACCCTAAACCCTAAACCCTAAACCCTAAACCTCCCTCGTGCCCGAGAGGCGCTGCTCTTGGCGGAAGCCGCCCTCAGCAACGTGTCGGCGGCCGCGGCAGGCGGCTTCTCCACCCGAAAGCGCAAAGACCCTACTCAGCCCTGTTTAGGGTTTAGGGTTTAGGGTTTAGGGTTTAGAGTTTAGGGTTTAGGGTTTAGGGTCATGAAGCCCTCTAAAGCCCTATAAGGCCGACAAGCTCTACCAGCCTTTTCAGCCCTCTAAGCCCCAAAGGCCCGTCAAACTTAATTAAGGGATTTACGAAGATAGGGCACCCCTAAAAAAAGACCCCCCAAACAGTAGGATTCCCTTATAATAAGGACCCGAATAAGGTACACCTATCTTCGGAAACCCCCACATACTCTAACCCAAACCCTTAAACCCTTAAACCCTTAAAGCCTTAAACCCTAAACCCTAAACCCCTAAACCCTAAACCCTAAACCCTAAACCCTAAACCCTAAACCCTGAACCCTAAACCCTAAACCCTAAACCCTTAACGCAGGAGCCACATCAGGGCTTCTTAGATTACTGGCCGGTCAGGGGATCCGCTCGGAAAGGGTTGTGGCGTCAGGACGGGGGTCCTTGCCGCAGTTTTTTGAAAAGGCCCGTTTAGAGTGGAGGTTTAGGGTTTCGGGTTTAGGGTTTAGGGTTTCGGGTTTAGGGTTTCGGGTTTAGGTTTTTTGCGTTTAGGGTCTAGGGTATCTTGTAGCCCTGCTAAGAGCTGCCCACGAGCCTTAGTGAAAGAGCCCTCTTGCTTTCGTTTGGGCTTGACGATTTGCGGAAGGGTGTCACCAGAACCTCTTGGTTGCAACCTAAACCCAAAACCCAAAACCCTAAACCCAAAAGCCCTCACTCGTTAGAGGGTTCAGAGTTTAGGACCCCAAGCCCTAAGCCCTAAAACCCAAAACCCAAAACCCTAAACCCTAAGCCCTAAACCCTAAACCCTAAAGGCCCTAGAAGCCCTGAGGTGGCCTCCTCTCCTCGTGGCTCTTCACCCGCTTTCGGCTCCGCGCCCAGCGGCTTGCCGCGGAGCTGCAGCCAGAAGGGGTTTAGGGTTAGGGTTTAGGGTTTAGGGTTTAGGGTTTAGGGTTAGGGTTTAGGGTTTAGGGTTTAGGGTTTAGGGTTTAGGGTTTAGGGTTTAGGGTTTAGGGTTTAGGGTTTAGGGTTTAGGGTTTAGGGTTTAGGGTTTAGGGTTTAGGGTTTACAGTAGGGTTTAGGGTTTAGGGTTTAGGGTTTAGGGTTTAGGGTTTAGGGTTTAGGGTTTAGGGTTGAAGCACACGGTTTAGTGGTTTAGGGTTGGGGGTTTAGGTGTCGGGAGTTGTAATGGTTTGGGGGCCCCTAAGCCCAAGCAATATCATTCAAGGCCCGAAAGCCACGTAACCCGGACCCGCCAAAGCCCGAAGCCTATTAGCCCTATACCCCTGACACCTTCATTGCCAGGACATACCTCCTCCCCCCCCTCCAACAAGAAACCCTCAACCCCCAACCCTCAACCTTCAACCCTCAATCCTCAACCCTAAACCCTAAACCCTAAACCCTGTGAGCGCCACTTCTTATGGGATGAAGCTTAGGCCTTCGCCGGCTCGCTGCTTCTGGCGGCGGGCACGCAGCTGCTCACCTTGGCTTAGGAACGGGCTTAGGGTTTAGGGTTTAGGGTTTAAAGGGTTTGTGGGAAGTTGCTGTTCATGTAAGCCTCCATAGAGGCAGCATAGGGGGCTTGCATCCGCCTCATAGGACTCTTTCAAGGGAAATTAGGTTCTAAATTCCTGTTCCTATTTCGCGAAAGCCCCAAAACTTGTTCGAGCCAGCCCCATATTTCGTGAGCAACAGTTTCTTCATATTTCTGCCTCAGGTAGACCTCTAGTCACAGACTTGTGTTGCTAGCCTTCATACCACCAAGATAGTCGAATCCCCTCCAGCCAAAGGCCCCCCCCTCCAGTTTCAAGCACCAACCCTTAAAACCCTTTAACCCAGCTGTAGCCCGGCTTCAAAAAACAAATGCAAACTCCCAAACGCCTGAAGGACAAAAAGAAAACCCCTAAACGCCAGCCCAAAACTAAACCCCTCTCTCCGAACAACAACCGAACAGAAGTGTAAAGTACATGTTCGAAATATCAGGGTTCCCTCTTTAAGAGACTCTTTTCCCAAAGACCTAAACCCTAAACCCTAAACCCTAAACCCTAAACCCTAAACCCTAAACCCTAAACCCTAAACCCTAAACCCTAAACCCTAAACCCTAAACCCCAAACCCTAAACCCTAAACCCTAAACCCTAAACCCTAAACCCTAAACCCCTTGCAAGGCAGCCTAAAAGCTTAAAAGGTTCTGGATCTGCTCGCTGTTCACCTCACGGCTGGTGTCAAAGGCGGGCCTGGGGCTCTCAGAGAGTTTAGGGAGGAGGGCATAGGGCTTATAGTCACGGGCTTGCAGATGGAATATGAAACCTTTTTTTTTTAACTCAAATCCTTATTATTCTTAGTGTTGTGTTTTCCCCTCCTGCGTGAAAAATCATATTCCATGTGCACGGGTTGGGTCTGGACATATTCCATGCCCATGGTGTATGCATATTTGCGATGAAAACCCCAAAACGGGTTCTTCTAAAACCTATGTTTTTTCTCGACTACTTTATTCCATGTCACGTGTTGCCAGTTTTGCTTCTTGATACCGTTATTCCATGCCATTGATACCGTTATTCCATGCCATGTGCATTGCGTGTCCCACACAGTATTTTGCTCCTTTTTTCCCAAGAACAAAAGAATAAACATACAAAAAAACGAGGGAAATGAGGAGAACCCGAGAGCCAGAGAGATTGATGTTGATGCGTGACGGGCTCGGTTGCTGCTTCTTGTTGCTCGCTGTGTGGCTGTGGCTCTGTTTTGCACCGCTATGTTGCTGTGCCCGCCGATTTAAGCTTCTGGGCTCAAGTTTCTTGCTGCCATGAGTTTTGCTGCTAACAGTGTGCTACATGTGTCTGGACTCAGTGGGGCGGCAAACTACCTGGGAATATGATGGAAGGCCTGTTGCATGGCTTGGCACCCCGTGTCCACAGCGATGGCAGAGCGTGTGACGCTCAGGGCACCCTTTCTCCGTTCAGCAGGTCGCTGGTGGAGGCAGATGCAGAGACCCCAGAGCCTCAAACCATTGCATATTCCAAGTCAGTTGTGTAAACCATTTTCTTTGCATCCGAGCTGAGACCCTACGTGGAACCCCTGAGATTGCACATTGTTGCAGGAAGACGCATGCAACAGTCGATCGGGAGAGGCACTGTGCTGCATGCGCGTAGGCGTGCTGGCTGTGTGCGTGTATATATGTATATACATGGATATCGCTTTCGTGGGAACGAGCCTGGTCACTCAGTCAGCAGCCACTAGCATCTCAGACTCCTTTGCAGTATATAGGTGGCGATGGATCTCCCTGTTCTCAAGGGTCTGTGGGACGCTGACAAAGAGGAGGTGCAGCTGAGCCCAGACAGAAAGCAAGCTGCTGTGTCTACGCATCCGCGCCGTGGGAAATAGGGTCCACGTCAGTGGACAGCGAATATTCCATGTGATCGCTTCATAACTTTCGTGTTTCCCTTTTCCTGTCTTTGGAGAAACCACCTGGGATAGCTGCGCAGCCATGTTGTTTCCGCTTGGATGTGGCAGGCTTTGGATCTGGATGGTTGGAGCCATGCTGGCATCAAACTTCGCCTGTGCTGAGGCGACGCTGAGCGAGGATGAGCTTTCCATTCCCACAGAAGAACCAAGTCCTTCGTTGACCTCTGGAGATAATGCCACTGACACGCAGGCGGTCACAGGCTGTGGGTCACTGTGACAGCAACAGCCG